TATTCACATGATATTAAGTAAGGGGGTGAGTTCCAATTAACTATTTAACCAAGTGAAGCCTGGTTCACATATACCTGCTGTTTGTTGATGGGCTATTGTCGTTAAAAGTTCAACTAAATAATTCACAAAAGAATGTATGCATCAACAGCTGTAAACAATGATAATGCAGGCATATGTAAACCAGGCTTAAAGGTGATCTACAGTCCGATCTGCGCATGTGCACAAATGACCCCACTTTTTATGATACAAACAGTTTAACTATGTTTTGAGTTCTTGAAAAGCCTGATTGTTGTTTCTTGATCATTTATTATACTCTAGAAGCTTGAAAATATAAATAGTTGTCGAATAAAGCTCAATATTTTGGACACAAAAATGTAAACAAAGGCTTTGTTTACATACGGACTGTAGATCACCTTTAAGATGCCAACAAAATCTTGATTTTTGTAGTGATCAAATTTCTGTAGTTGATATTTCCAAGTTGTTATCTCTCCTCACTTATTGAAATGGTTGCTTCAACAGAAAGATCTTTTCCTCTTATATATCAATTCACTTAACATGTTGCCAAATGTCTGATGATTTGACTAAAATTAGTAAAATATAATCAAAATGTCAACCCCTTCATATAAATAAACATGCCAAAATAATATTCCAGAAAACAATACAATTTAATATAATTCCTTTATTAAACAAATTATACCTTTCGTATCGTTCCATTCTTCGTTTTGCGTTCGAAATTATGCCAGATAATTTCCTCAAATTGTAGTTCCTCGGCTGAACAATTGATACATTGTAAACATAATTTTGGCTGGTTCGAGCGAGCGATTCAATTAAATTTGCACGTCGTTTTTAGACCGCGAGAGACATTGCGATATATAATCCTTTCAATTGACCAACTAATTTTCGTATAACTTGAATATTTCGATGCATTTTAAAACATTTTTAAGGTTAATAGTCGCAAGCTTCGCTCCTCGCCTGAAGATTTCAAACTGAATATATAATTAGGGTCAAACGCCTACTTAGGGGGTGGGGTACATTGACACGGCCACAAGGTACATTGACACGTCCATTTTGTTCGATTTATGGCAGGCCTCTCCCCCAGAAATTTTTTTTTTCAAACCCATTCGCAGGCTAGAACCCATAGAGAGGCCTGCGGAGGAGGCTAGATCCAGAACAATTTTACTCTTTTTTGGGAGTTGAAACGACCCCTGGAGTAAAATTAAGAAGTACAAATTACTCCATAATTTCTACTCCTAAAAGCGAATTTAGTTTACTCCTCCAGTGGAGTTAAATTGACTCCTAATGAGTAAATTGTAGAATGCGCGCCGAAGTGGAGTAGTTTTAACTCTATATTGGGAGTAGATTTTACTCCACAATTTTTACTCTCCCGAGTTGATTAATTCTTTATTGATTTCATTTATTGATGAAACTCTTTATTGATTTCTAAAGTTAGTTAAAGACTTTTCTTTACTCCGATATATAGAAGTCATTTTATTTATTTATTTAGCTTTGCCAACTAGGGCAGGGTCACCACAACAGCATATGCCAATTACTGTGGGCCCTTTTTACCTAACTATTAACTAACGAACTAACCCACCCTGTCAACTTTCCCTGTGGGAGGAAACCGGAGTACCCGGGGAAAACCCACGGCTTTCGGCAGAGCGTTGACTTTTACTCTTTTCACATGGGGACTGGGTTCGAGTCGCACTGAGAAGGTACTTAGTGAGACTCGAACCTGCAGCCTCAGAGGTGAAAGGCAAGTGCGCTAACCACTTGGCCACCGAAGCCCCACAAAGAGTAAAAACAACTCTACTTAAGGAGTAAAATTTACACCAAAAATGGAGTAAATAAAGGAGTACAATTTACTCCAAAAAAGGAGTCGTTCTGTACCTTTTTTATTTAATCCACTTTTGGAGTCAAGTCGACTCCTTTGGAGACAAAATGACTTCTATATATCGGAGTAAAGAAAAGTCTTTAACTAACTTTAGAAATCAATAAAGACATTTTTCGAGTCAAAATAATTTATTATCCCTACAAGTAAGGTATATTATAGCAGGAAATACAATTCGCTGTAGCATAATATAATGAAATACTCTTACGCCCTATAATATTTTAATGAAGTTCTAAATTGATTAGAATGATATCATGAATACATGATTAGAATGATATCATGAATACATGTGCAATACAATTACAAGCCTGTCAGCATGAATTGAACCTGCAGCCCTGCAATTCTACTGCAGCCCTCTGACCTAAAGAGCCCTTTTGCCAAGAGGTAACCACAAGTTGTTGTGTGTATACCATGGTGGTGTCATTGGTAGTGTATTAAATAAACTGCCTAGGATGACACTAGTATTATATACATGAACTCTTGGTTACAGTAGAGCTTGATTGACTGTCAGGGCGATGGACTCTTAGGGCTTCAGGACCTTTGACGGTTAAAAAGCTGATCAGAATCACCTGTAGGGCAGCAGGTTCCATTCCCAGCACAGTACCGGCTATTACATAGTTATCGTTCAAAAAATTTACATTTACAGAAAAGCTTTAACCCATTAAGTGGCAGCACTCTCTCCTTAATGAGCAAAAATTGTCTGACCACATTTGACAGAAAAAATAAAAAGTAAAGCAAATTGCCACTTAAAGGGTTAATATTCTGTTCAATGTAGAATCTCTACAAGTAAAACATACTGCATGTATTAAATGTATGTAGTGTCACTTCTCAATCAAACATGTCAAGCAAGTCCATTAGTAAAAATTTAGTACAAAACAAGCTGTATACCACAAGTCGGCAACTCCATCCCTTGCATGGTTTGGTAATTCACAAAAATGCTCTCCAGCAAAAGAATAACATTTTCCAAATAGACCATGAAGTTCTTAGAATGCCATTAATGATTACATATAATACCACTTGTTTAGACAACTTGCCTTCTCCTGGGAAGCTTTTATTAAATCCATATATTAATGACAATTCCTAGTAAGAAAAAAATATATAAGGTTGATATATAACAGCAGCAAATTATTGATTGATGTTTGTGATGTTACTCTGAGTGTGCATCCACACCGGGCAAGCTGAAAAGTTAGTTTGGGCACGGTGGGAATCGAACCTGCGGCCTTTGGGATACTAGTCCAATGCTCTACCAACTGAGCTACATGGTCAAGTCTGTTCGAGTTGATAATATTTTGGAACTGAGTCTAGTTCCTTCGATATCAGTGTACAGGGGTATTCAATGATACAATTATTTTGTGTGTGTTGGTGTCATGTACTCAGGTGAATATATGATGTTTGTGATGTTACTCTCACCAGTAGCGTAGCCAGCCCGACTATTTGGTCCCGCTATGCAAATATTTTCATGTTCATTGACTGTGAAAACAATAAATTTCTAGAGAAATGAATAATGATAATAATTTTGAATTTCCATAGCGGGACTATATTGTCGGGCTGGCTACGCCACTGACTCTCACTGAGTGTGCATCCACACTGGGCAAGCTGAAAAGTTAGCTTGGCCACGGTCACAGGTTCGATTCCCACTGTGGCCAAGCTAACTTTTCAGCTTGTCCGGTGTGGATGCACACTCACAGTAACATCACAAACATCATATATTCACCTGAGTACATAACACCAACACACACAAAATAAAAATTATTGATTGATTGACAATGAATTTGCTATTTTTGGTTGTTTGCATACATACAAAGCAAGAAATACAAAATTCAAATGCTTTTACTCATTTAATGTAAGCATGCAATTGAACTAACATCATCCAAATGAATACAACTTTTCTGGTAAAGGGTGTTTAAAATAGAGGTGCATAATTGACCCAAAATTCATTGTCCCAAAATCTTACTAATGCCAAGCTAGGATTTTCCATATAAATTATATACAATCACCCACGATTTGGCACGGTATTACCCCTGGGCCCAGCTGGGTAAAAAGATCTCTGTGATTGTTTTTGTCAGTTTATACATTTCGAGACTGTCTGCAAAAGTATGAGTGATTGATCACTTGTTGGTTCACTTTATTGGGAAATGTGCTTGTACTATATAACTCAGTCTGGGTGATTTGTTTTGGCAAGCCTGCCCATCTAAAGATCGAGGCTCATGTAACCAGACATTCATCCAGGGAAAGCGAGATATAGCCAGGTTACCTGGGCGGCTCGCCTCTATATAAGCAGCCCCTTACACATGTTTTAGGCTGACTGATAGCCGATAGGAGGGCTACCATAGCAAGCACATGCCATACACTGGGTAATATTAGATGAGCTATTGCAATGCTGTCAAATGTGACTGCATTTCAAACAGATCACATATATATTAATTAAAGTATACATATTTAACACGAAATACAACATACATGTATATCACACAAATAAAGCCCCGTTTACACGAGCAAATTTTATTTGACAAATTTCATATGTCAGAGATATTTTGCTCGTGTAGATGATAAATTTGTGACAAATTTATTTGAACAACAAATGCTTTTGATGAAATTTGTCAAATAAAATTTGCTCGTGTAAACGGGGCTAACAACACATATAAGTAGAGACTGTAGATTAGACTTATGGACTTCTGCTAATACAAATTAATCGAAAATTAAAACTGAACGTCTGGATCGGCAAATCGGCGGCGAAGCGACTAAAATACAGGCCTTCGTCTTC